TTATCATATAATATTAACAATTTTTGTCATACGTTTAATAAGCATCATTTTTTTGGTCTTTCTGTTACGCCCTGTACACCTATACTGCATTAGTGACGTACGTCYGTATGATGATATAATAATATTCAATAATATGTTTCAACGGTTTTGTGATCGTACATGTAATCGTAATGGGAATGTGAATSACCAGACCGGAAGTTTTAAAATATTTKAAACTMAAAAAAAAATTCTCAATCGTTCTATTAGTCAGATGACCCTGCAGCTGATGTCGATGAAACCAAAAAACGCAGCTACATATTTATTCGCTTACAATATACGTATACATATACTTTAGAACTTTAGATTCATCAATCTTCCCGTCTACCACAGCTAAACATTTTTAAAAGCTATCCTTTTTTTTCTTAATGTATTCCCAGAAAAAGTGACGGCGATTTATTTTTTTAACGTAGTACAATATTATATTGATATYTCTCAAACGTCCTATATTTTTTGAGTCAATGATTTATAATAATTTAATTAATATCAGATGTGGAAAATTAACCGGCGATATATTGCGTTTCATACAGTTTGCGCTCGCGATGTCGGCGTTAACAATTGTTTTGATTAGACGAAAAACAATAACTAGTGTCTAGATGTGTTGCAAATGTCGCTTCTCCAGTACAGTGACAAGTTGGGCTCGGAATTTAATGCARTGTGCAATATTTTTGGGTGTTCTAGAACAATGCATTCCAAGTGTACATAGTTCGTTTAATGTCACGTATAATACAAATGTGAAATTTAATTTTAAATTTTTTGAATTTTTCCTTTTTAGATTATTATTTTTTTCTTAGAATTTCCAAGTTATATCGATTATTATTTCATAGTATACACGATTTGGTGTAAACTATGAAATTCAAAATTTTATATCAAGAAATATAGGAAGTTTTTATAATATTTACTGTAATAGTTACATAGCGATCGTTTATTGCGTTTTTCAATGTTCGGTATTTTGTTATTGTATATTATTATTTTTAATTTAATTAAGATTAAGAAATGTTGAAAACGCTAAAAATGTAACCGTCGACTTACTATTTTTTAATAGTTTTTAAGGCATTTAAATCTGGGCCCAAGTGATGATAAGTTTGTCGTGAATTTGTCGTATTACCTAACAGAAATTGAGAAATCGCACGTTAAAAACAAATATAAAATATATATTTATTATAAAATCAACAAACGYACGTCTTACAATCGTATTTACATCGTGTGTGAGAGGAGGACCAGTAGTCGTTCATTTATTATATTTTAATATGTACATGATTTATTATTTAGCTGTATAGGAATGYCAAGTGGGCCCACAAAACGTAACCATCGCATAATATTCCGGTCYYGGTGATTGTTGACGGGAAGACTTGTCGTATACGAATCGATAGTGATCGGACATAGGTATGATAAWATAATAATAATTACGCTCGAAAATAGATTTTTATTATATAATATTATGTTCACCTAAAACGAACGCAAAAAAATGTATGGCTGAGCATAATGCGTTTGWCGTGCATTTTTCCAAGCAAATCGTTGAACATTTATAGAGGTGCAGATATACCTAAATAATATCATCATTTTAGAGGTTTATAATATAATTATATTGTATTTTACGAGTGCGGTGCGTGTTTCGCAAACGAGGTGAGTGTGTTCGACTTTGTACGGGTAGGTAAAAACACGCAAATAATTTAAACAAATAATTATTAAAACGCTTGACAACAAAACGGCACGCGTTTCATTAAAATTAAACGACTAACAAGCACTCGCTGCTGGCATAAGAAATAACAATACTAATGATAAAATAGTGCATACATTTAAATTATAATTTACAAGCTAAATAATAACAAGTATATTATATAGGTATGACCTTTTAATTGAATAATTGCTAATATGTGACTTCAGCCAGCGAAATAAGATTAGTGTAACAATTCCTAGATAGAAGCCGATCGAGATTATGATATAATTATGTATGCAGATCAACACGAAAGAACTGAATCGGTAGCGGTAATGTTGCTTCAGTTATTACGGTTTAGATATTATAATACAACCAAGCATATAAACGCCCCAATTTTTCTGTCTAATAAAATTCGTTTATTTAAACTCTTATTTATGTAATTTGTATGAAACACATTTTCAATGCCAATTTTTGTATGCTATTTAAAGATTATAATTTATTGATATGCCATATAAACTTCTGTCTATTTTTTTTAATGAAGCATTGTTAATAACCTTTTGTAAAAATTTAAATAATTAAAAATATGGTCATAAGTACCAATAAACAGAGAAAAAGGTAAGCATGCTAATGGTGAATTTCTATGAATAATATACATATATTAAAGAAAGATAGAATGAGAATTACTGGATATTATTTTTTTTTTTAGTTAATTAATTAATTTATTGAAATAAACGCCAAAGGTGGCTCAAGTACAGAAAAATAAATTACAAGATAATAACATGTACAACATAATATATGACATATTGAAATATATTTAAATTTGTTGAAGAAGAGTGTACTGTATAGTACTTGTGKGGCAGTTATACTCAAACGGAGGAGACGACATTTTCAAAATGATCTACTCTTCTATATATGTTCAAGTGACTGTATCAAAATATATAATATTTTGGCTGTTATCGAAAACGCGATAAAAATACAAAATATTGTAACAACCATCATCTATCAATATACGTCACACGCATTCGCAGACTTAATTCGGGTGGACGGAATAGTAGAAAAATAAAATAATAATTGTATTGTAGTTGGGCGACCAAATGATTTCAACGTATTGTCGTTAAATKAATATTATAATTTATGATGGATCGAGAAACAATAGAAAACAATCATAATATTATCAAAAAACAAAAAACAAAATAAAATAAAAACGAGTAGGTATACTTTAACTTTGTTGTTGGTTATTATGAGTTTATGACAAATACTGTGCTAGAAAACATCATAATATATAATATATAAATACCATCTGGAGTTAAAATGCAATGTAAACAATTTTTTCACAAATTTCTTTTAGATTTGAAAATGTAATTAATTGTTCTCAAAATAATTAAAAAACATCGAATGCCATGTATATAATTGTATTTAAGAACTAATAAGCAATTWATGTTTAAATTGTCTGTCTCCTATTTCGCTCATAATTATTTTTTTCGTATACAATGGGGTTCTTTTTTATCGAATTCAAAAATACTATGCAACAGAAGCTTTTTTATTATTATTTAAAGTTCTCCTGACAATAATCATCTAAACTTAGGGATACAGAAGTAAGTCTTTGACATTTTGTATAACAGATCATGTTAGATATAAGTAAGAATTAAGGTTTTTTTGATGTACAATTAATGCAGTAGAAGCAATCACTCTGTTTTATAATTTAGGTATTTTAAAATAATGTAAGTTGGTTTGTTTTTCATGCGATTATTTCATTGAAATTAAGGATTTTTTTMAATTAAAATATGTATTTAGTACTATTAATAAGAAAACATTGAATAGTACTTTTTAGTCTTTATGAAGATTTTAGAAAGTTATAGTGTTCAATAAAATGTTTTCAATTTAAAAGCTAAGTCTCTTCCGATTTCCATGATTGGCAAACATTTAAGTTAATATTGTAAATAATATATATTATTGTAAGGTATTATATTTATAAGCAAAAAAGAACTTTAAAATAAAAATTGTTTATTGTGAAAGAAATCCACCGTAGAGTGAATACATAAATTTTCATATCGTACTTATACATTTTGTTTTTATTTTTTTTTACAGTGCGTTTGAAGATCGAAAGTGCCGAAAAAGTTTTTGGTCACAGCAGCAGTTGCCATACGTGGACACCATTATATACATATAGGTATATATGTATTATAATATGAGGCAGACATGTGTGTCGTATTTATTGTCACACGATAAATCAAAAAATGGAAGTTATAAAATATTAAAGTTAAAAAAAATTCTACGACCGATAGCGAAGTAGTTCGAAGGATGCGCCTGGCTGTATAATACAGTGTGTAACAGAAAGATATGACCGAATGCCATATCTTTAATATGTTTCATTTGTCATATATTTCTGTTACACTCTGTTTATTATTTTAACGTCATGTGCGTTCGTATATACTGCGTGGATGATGATGATAATATTATAATAATACATTGTTTAAGACAAAGATTTTTTCTGAATTTKTTGGAATACTCAACGGCGCACCCAAAGTCATTCATATGGATTTATCGCCGACATTCGAATATAACATAATAGTATAAAAATGGTATTCGTCAAAAGAWCGCGTCAAATAATAATATATTTTTTAGTCGGCCAAAATATGTTGAAAACAATAGAATAATACATAATTATAGTACACTAACGATAGATTCAGTATCTATATATAGTACTTATCGTTCATCGCGAGGCTTGAAATTGAACGTGGCAAGTGGACTCTTTTCCAAAAGATTTGTTATCTAGGTGATAATTTTGAAACGCGATTTTCAAAAATCTTTATAAAGATCTAAAGTATAATATGTAATATATAGAGATTTGCGTGTTTATTGTAATATTTTGATATATTCAAACGATAAAAAAAAAAATATATATAAGTAAATAAATGAATTCGGTAACACTTCGTGGCATATGACTCCGGTCGACTGATAACGCTGATTTGATGTTTTGAAATTGGAATTACTAAAATTTCCATAGCTGTTAAGTACCTATAATATTTTAGCGGCACACGACTTTGAAAGATTTTAGAGACGAACACAACCACGGAGGGTCGATAGCTTAATATTGTACCGAGAGTTGTTTTGGCGGATGAATGAGAACCGCAATCGGAGCTTTGTACTTTTGGTGTCGGATTGAACTTTAAGCGAACTAAACGAGCAACGCAACAATGCGACATTACGTTAAAATGATCATAAAGTCTCAATGGTTTCGACTTTAACACTTGTATGGATGTACGTAATGTATATTATTATCATAACGACAGTGATTTTGGGATTTAGGAAAACGGTTTAATGTCCGCGAAAACGACGTTAGCCACATGTCGATGTCGAAACACATTATTATGTAGGTACCTAACTAAATGCGAGTGACGTATACAACGATCCATTGAAACCCGTAGGGCAACAAACTTTTTAAAATTAAATAAAAACGAACGAGTAAAAAATCAAAAATCAAAAAGACTAAAATGTTATTTAATAATAATAATAATAATAGTAATAATACGATAACGACAATTCGACTAGAGGTGCTACTCAATGCCGAGACGAGACAATCGTGTGGTTATGAGCCACCACGACAACGACATAATATATTATTACAAGTACATATTTTTTATAATATAAACATAATAAATTTATTTTAAAATAGTTTGGTTGCCCACTGACTAATACTATAATGATATGCCCAGCACACTGAAACCTAAAAATTTTACTCGTCGAGTTTGCGGGTGGATGAATATTTTACGCGGCTTCTTTAAGTACCGCAACTCAAATTTTCTTTCAAAAATCTACTGCGATCGGCATGATTTTATAGAATAAGAAAGAATACTAATAAAAAATATTTCATTGATGTATAGTGAATACGACTTTAAAAATTTAATAAAATAGGAAATTATAAACAATTTCAAAACTAATATAATCAAACAAATTCAAATTTTTCAGAATGAGATGCTTATAATGAGATGTCATAACAAACATGGCTTAGGACCCATTATTGGGTTAACATGTTTGAGAAACTCAGCAGGAGTGTAGCATAATGATTGCTTTTATCAAAATCGATATTATATTATATTATTAATTATTTTGCCATTACTTCTAGGATTATGTCTTCAATAATCGTTTTAATCATGCCATCGCGCAGGCGTCACATGGTTTCTGATAAATGGTGGGGAGATATATCTGTTGACCTGTCTATTTAATTTGAAGGCCAGCTCAAAACTCACTATCATAGGTCGATGGACAATCACAATATAACAACTTAAATCGTGGAACAATTACAAATACCTACTTACAATACATGTAGGGTTGTTATAATCGTTTACAATAATTTAAAATACACGATAGGATTAAAAAAAAAAAAAAATACAACCTTTAAGAATTGATACTAATTAATAATAAAAATACATATTATATAGTTTGCGGAAAGCAAGTCAGCAGTGTTGGTGGTCATACAAAACTCTCCTTCAGATGATCGTCATCGACCTGCAGACGCGTCTTCACGCCTCGGTGACGGCCAAACAAGGCTGTGACTACTGCCGCGGCCGTGTTGGTGGTGGTGACGGTGACGTCGACGTGCTGCCGAACCGAACCGTATCCGGCGCTATTGCCGTTTCCGGTTCCGTTGCTACCTCGCATCGGCGGCCCGCTGCATGACCGCGACAGCGTCGTGGTGAGGGTGCCGGTGGGCCGCAGCCGAAACACGTCCCGACGGCGCCCTCGTCGTCTACGCCGGCGACCACCGCACCCACCGACGCCGCACCCACCGACGACGCCGCAACCACCCGAGCCTCCGCTGTCGTATCCGTCGTAACCGTCGTCAACGCCACCACACCGGGACCGGCAGAGCTTGCAGAATCCGCGCCGGAACTTTGAAGACATCAGGTTGTACAGGATCGGGTTGACGGCCGAGTTGAGGTAGACCATGACCCGGGACGCGTACAGTATGATGTAGTAGTGCTTGAGGCCGAGGTCCAGGAACGTGTGCTCGGGCACCAGGATGATCCACATGGTGAACACGCGGAACGGGAGCAGGCACACGAAGAAGGACAGGACCACGGTGGCCAGCATGAGCACCACCTGCCGGCGGGCGCGCTGGTTGCACGCGCTGTCCGTGCAGCTAGTGCCCGGGTCGGCCATCAGGTGTGCGGCGATCACCGTGTACAGGACGACCAGCACGAACAGCGGGACCACGAAGAATGCGGCTATGATGGCCACGAAGAACGTTATCGGCCAGAACGTGTTGGCCTTGGTCAGGCATACGGGCACCTTGGTGCCGTCGATGTAGTCCATTTGCGTGTATTCCGAGATCATTGTGATCGGACTGCGAACAGAAGAACAAAAACAAAAACAAAAACAAAAATATGCGATTGTGCTCTCTGGACGACGACAGAAATAATGACAAAAACAACACATAGGTACATACAATAAGATCAAAAATAATAAAATAATGAAATAGGCAAGCGTGTGAGTGGGTGTTTTTACTTTTTTTTTTACATATTATATAATAAAATTCAGTGTTTACATTTAAGTATTAAGTATTAACTATAAATCATAATAATAAATTATAATATCGGTACACGAGCAGTTCAGTACCTACCAACCGATATTTATTTTGTATCGCAATACCTATTAGGYACCTACTACCTAGCTATATATATTAATTAAATACTTGTTTGAACCGTTTTAATATAATAATRAAACCKATATTATTGTTTTTTGTAGATTYTGAGAAATTATTGAAGAAATTCCACACGGTACAGGAATACGTTTTACGAATTGTGGTGTTCCATTACGAACTTTTTTACAAGTTATAATTCTTTATAAAACTAATATTTTATTAATTATATCTTCTTAAAATCGACAAGAACATGGACTAAATAATACTTTAAGCAAGTGCAACGCCAATGCAATCCATTTATTGCTCATTGATCATTGTTTTAAATTTGGATATGATTCATTAGCGGCGCGAKAGACGAGTAGATACTTATTTTCCATAATTTTGCACTACTATTGCATTGGCGTCGTTGTCTATATCTTTAGTGTTGTTTAATCATAATACGAGCGATTAAAATTAATTTTTAGAGCAGCGACGATGTATCTYATACTTGTGTTTAATCAGAATAAAATAAATACTAATTGCACAAAACTACAAAATGTATATTTTTTAAGAACACAATTTACCTGTTGCAAATCCACAAGTGTATAATAGGTACGTTATACACAAATATATGAATAAGACAACATTTTGCGAAAAATAATTGTCCGATGATCGACAAAAATTTCATTTTTCAATTTCACTTTATATAAAAATAGAATACTTAAAAATACACACGAACACCGTATAAAACGATTTTATACTTCGCGTTTTTAAAAATACTACGTTTTATATTATATTATAAGTTTTAAAAAAATACTATAGATATAAWATTATAGTCTGATCTATGGAAATCGCCATCGCAATAAATAATAATGCCAACTACATATATAATACTTTATCGAATGATACAAAAGTATATGCTGTGGTATTTTTATACATTCAACTTGAACAAAGTGATATGTCCGGGAATATATTCGATAATGTTGTTTAGATTTATTTTTTTATGGAAACTTGACGTTAAATTTACTGTATTTTAAAATATRTTATAAAATTATATTTATAATTCTATAGAACTTTACCTCAGTACAATTCTTTGAATTTTCTCTTTTAAAGCTTTTTTTAAAATTCAGAATCAAGTGAAACTCAAGAAATTTGATAGTTTAAAATATACACAATACAGTATGTTAATTATTTGGAAAGTCAGTAGCTCTAATTTAAAATATAACTCAGATATTGTAGTGCAGTTTTTTAAATGTAATATATACATAATTTGTCAAGGTCTAAAAAAATGGGCATGCTTAAATGTTTTATTTTTTTTATTATTTAAAAATTCAAAGTAAAGTTTTTTTTTATAATATAAATAACAATTTCAAATCAGTGAAATTTTGAATGAATTAATCCAACTTATATTTTCAAAAACACAAGTTGATATTATAAAATTGTATGATTTTAACACTTTGATAACTAATTGGGTAAGCCCAATAGGTAATAAAGAACACACTACTCATTGAAATTGAATGTAATATTTTTATATGTTTTTATAATATTTTCCATTAAATCTACCATGAAATATTACGCTAAATTCTATTGTTTAGGTTCATAATTCTGGTATTGAAATTAACATGTCACTGGGGATATTTTACACATTCCTTAATTTCTTTTGATTTTACTAATATCCGATGTGACGTTAATGAACAGCTTATCCACAAATCATTAATGTGRAACTTTTATTATTRACTATATGCATTATTTACTATTTCARTATAATTTACTATTGACAGTTCACACATGATGAATATTCTGAACAATATTATAAAAACAAATAAAACTATTATATGCAATTTCAATGATGAGTTATTATGGTGATTCTTGTTCACGGAACTAATAGATCTTACAAATTGTTGGATGATGTATGGATTAATGTCATAATATATCTATTTAAGTTCGWTCCTTCGAACAGTGCTAAATAGTAAATACTATTGAAATATTAATAGTTATATTAAAATCGATTTGGGTTTATATGGAGCATGCTTCGGACACTTCATAATATAAATTTTTCAAACCAACGTGGCGGTATGAATGTATGATATATAWTCTAACCCCTATCTCTTTTTTGAACCAACAGACAATAGTATAATATAACAATATAATTATCGTAACACGGCGTCATGTGTAGGCAATTTAGCTACATATCACTTTTTAGTGTCTTAATTTTTTCGGYATGGGTATATTAAGTATTAATAATTTATTATAAGCTGTGAATTCAWTATTTGTTGGTGAATTTTAACACAGGTTTGGCTTTAAAGTTATAATCTAACATAGTACGTTCAGGAATTGTGATAACGAATATTATTTCAAAATAAAATTATATCAATTGTAATGGACTTGTTATCACTAGAAATAGTAGGTACAGAAATAAAATAATATATGAGCTGTGATAATATGGTAGTAATTGGGTTTTTTTGCTGGTGGTTCAYATCCCGTAAAAATATTTTTTTATAATTCCACTTGGTAAATGAAAATACAAATATCTAAGTCAGTACTCTAATATTTTATTTTACAATTGTTATATATATTTTCTTAGTCTGGTATTAATTACAGTACTGTTGCTTCAATAAATATTTACAATAATGATACACATAGAATTGAAATTTCACAATAATAAAAGAATGCTATGGTTTTTTTTTCACAATGCACCATTATTTTATTATCGTTATATASGTAGCTGTGGTCAGAGAACGTGTCAGGCATTATATCGACCATACACCTTAAAGGCCGATAAACATCGCCTGGATCGTATGTGTTTCTTATCTACACGAACCACGCGCACGTAAACCTCGCGATATATTTTCAGTGTAATAATAATAGTCGTATTATGTGTAGTAGATATCTATTTATATGCCGGTCCAATACTCTAACCGTGGTCCTGCGAAAAATCCGAATGCGACCTATAATAATAAAGAAAGACTRTAGTTGGCCAACGCCAACACTGAGGTTGAGAATTCTGAGATTTCATATACTATATGAGGAATAACCGTATTGTCATCGGGCTGTGCATTGGTGGTGTATAAAATATATATTCGATGATGAATTTTCTTTTGTTTTTTTTTTTTTTTTTTTTTTTATTAAAAATCTCCAAATCAATTCTTATTTTCCACATAATGTATTGATTGGTGTAAYTTTTTSTACACCATATAGGTATCATTACAATGCATATATAAATATGATATACTAATTTGAATATTATTAATAATATATTATTTATGTTATTTTATTACATTATTGTATTGTGTAAACTATTTTAATATGACTTTATATAATATTATCATGTAAAACTAATTATTATTATAATTTTTTTTTAATAAGATAATTTATAATTACTACAGGAAAAGCTGACCAACATTTCGGAAAATCTTACTCAAGGGACCAAAGAGTGCATTCCCCGAGAACTCGTTTTATTTGCTCCACTGCAAGGTCTCAGAATTACGTGGTTTGGAGTAACGATTTCCTGTCACTGCAGAACAATGTCTATTGAAAATTCGGTTGTATCAAAAAATATCTGCATATTATAACACACATTTAATGTATATGTATCATCCTTTTGGCTTTTTTTTTATGATATAAAAAGTGTACTATACGCGGCTATGACTATATTATTATAATTAAAGTCTCTTGGAAAAAACACAAAACCGTGGACGTGCGRTTAGGTCGTAGTCATGTGCACATAAAATGATTTTTAAACTCAGAACGATGACGCTTCTGCAGTGGATTGGTGGAAATTCCCACGTGGACGTATCATGATTTATTTATGAAATATGTTAATGATAAGACAATTTACTGGTCAAATAACAATTTATACAATTGTTATACGTCCCGACTGAACGTCGATTCATACATCAACGTAGAGATGAAATACTGATGTTTACAATGWAATAATGTYTTTATTTTCACAARTTATTAATAATTGATACAAAAATACAGTTTATATGCTATAAAGGTGTTGGTGAGCGGTGWTACGACCTTACTCTGAAATRTTGTTTTAAATGACAATGAGTGGTTTTACGACCTGCCTCTAAGTGTCTTAAATTTCCCTAACCTTCCTATAGGCATAATTATTTGCTCCAAATTAGAATTAAGCAATGAAGAAAAATTAATCATATTTAAACAATATCATGAATTTGTAATTGACCAAATATAGACTAAGGACGGAAATAAAATTTTGCAATATTTTAATCAAATAATTATTTTGTGTATTATTGTTCTAATTAAATTGTCATATTAACCAT